TATATATATATATATATGTATTTAGACTCCGAAATGGGTTGTCACTACCTTGGCTCGTCTGCTTGATGCTCGGTCACCCTGTCCAGGTAACGACGTTTAACGGGTCCTAGACAAAGAGGTGACTGGTGGCGTAGTCGGGGTCTCTCTCCTTAGTATCTTTCTTGACTACGTAACACCGTTAAACGGGTTTTAGTGTAAGTAAAGATAAATGTTTTGAGCTCATTTAGAGCATTTTATCCCCTTGTTATTTCCTTTGTGTAGAAGGTTTTCCATTTTTTGGGTAAACGTGCTCTAGCGTTCGCTTAAAGTACCATGCGTACTGCGTGGCGTTCAAATTTAAATTTGAGTGTGCGAGGTCATTACAAGTGTTAAATTAAAAAATTAAAAAAAAATCTATGTATTAAAATAAGTAAATTTATTCAAAAATGTATACCCTTTTATTGTCCCTTCTTAAATTATTTATCTGAGATATTCAGGGAATAATAGGGCAATTAAAAAAAAAGTTAGATGTTATTTGAAAAATTTATGTACTTATTGTTGTTTATATCTTTTTTTAAGTATCGTTTAATCTGTACAACGGGTTGAAATAATTTTTTCATGGCTTTTCGTTTCAGTCTTTGTGTATTGAGGACTTGATGGGAAAGGGGGAGTGGGTTTGTTATGATTGATTCCTTGTAAAAAGCAGAGTAAGGAGGAATTATTGCAATGAATTTTATTATTGTGTGGGTAGGGTAGGCGGTCTGTGAGGAAGTTCTCTTGTTTGTTGCGTGGGTTTTTGGAGATTCTTAAAAATGGGTATAGGTGGTGATGAAGGTGGACATAGAAGGGGTGGTTGGGGAATCATTGGGAGCACGGAGCCTTTCGAAGTTGATTGGCAAGGGTCCAGGCTTTTGTTTTGGTATGGTAATTCCTTTATGCAGCTATTGGTCCTTGTCATCTTCTTCCTGAATACGACCTACTCCCTTTTTTTCCTCAATGTCTCCCTTGCCTCGGCAACCAGGCCTGTTGCTGACACCTTGCCCGAGTATAACTCTTTAAACCGCTCAATCAGTGTCCTTCCTCTTTTTTGTTTTTTTATGCGTCGTTATGCCTGTTTCCATCCCATATCATTCTTGAATTGTAAGACGTTCAAGTTTTTCAATCGCGATGTCATAATCAAGCTCAATATATTCATTATCTGCCTCCTGGCTTCTCGTTGATTCGTGATCGATATTGAAGACGGAATCTTTCAAACACGTATCCACATGGAGTTCTTTGATTAGGGCTTCTAAGCATTGCCAAGTTCCTTTAATTTTTCGGTTTAACCGTTGTCGTTGACGTTGTACTTTCGTTTGTATAGTACGGCTGTAACTCGCTCTCGTGGAAGACTCCCCATGCTCCATTTCTATCGTTTGACAAATAAAACGTGGCGTTATTAATAATTTTAGAAATGGAATATGGTCCTTCGTTAAGTGTCATGAATTTAGCCGTTTTTTCGTCACACATAGATGAAAAAAGTTTAGTTTTTATGAGCACCTATTTCCCAACACATAGTTAACAAATGGTTTGATCATGTTATGTCTGTACGGGCGCAATTTTCTTTTCTTACTTATAAGTTCTATGACGGAGGCTACCTTTTCTTTTAAACTAATTGAAGTATTGCTTGATATTTTTATCCATTTTTGACAGAAACGTGTGAGTTCTGTGTTTAGTTGAAGTTCAATTGGTGTGTGTTCTATTGTTTCGTGGTAATATTCGTTTATGCAGTCTTGTCAGGTGGCGCCGTCGAGTGAGCGAAACTGTCCCTCGCTAAGATCGCCAGATTGCATGCTGCCTTACAGAAATTTTTTTTTAATAAATTATAAAAAAGGTTATTAAGAGTGGATTGACGAAATAAATCAGTGATTTGAGCGTGTATTATGTTAGTTTACAGTAATTAGTTTTGTTTGGTGTTGTCATGTGTACTACAAGATTGGAAAAAATAAAAACATGGATTGCGACCGTAATAACATAGCATATATGAGTGCATATATATGCTTGCACTTGTGTGCTGCTTAAAAAACACAAGTACTGCTTACATTTATCTATTTCTCATAACACAGTACTCAATAAATGTAAGAACTAATGACAGGTTAGGTTTTAACTTTTACACATTTATTTTACTTTACCGTGGGTTACTTGTGTCCTTTAAGCTTTGCATAACTGTTAGCATGTATATGAACCTATATGTGCTGTGTCATTACAGTCTCTATTTTTCTAATTTTGTAGTATACATGACAACACCAAACAAAATGTATTACTGTACACTAATGTAATACACACTCAAATCACTTACTCATTTGGCCAGTTCACTCCTAATAACCTTTTTTTTAATTTATTTAAAAAATTTTCCTATAAGGCTCTGTACATTCTGGCGATCTCAGCGAGAGAAAATTTCTCTCACTGGACGGCGCCACCTAACATTGGCGCCTAGCGAATAGTCCGACTGGACATATATACTACTCTTTCTTTAATAATTTCTTTATTAATTTCTTTATTAATTATCTATTTGACAGAGAATGGCTACAAGTGCGGTGTAATAATCTTGCATCCACATATAAAATAAACGGTTTACTGAGGTCAGGAGGTGTAAAAACAAATCATGGTTGAATACATTTTCAACGTGGTTAAATGCTTGCAAGTATTTATCCCCCTATTTTTAACACTGACCCTTACGGATAAATTTTAGTAGGGGCTCCATTTCATACCATACTTTATCTGAAAATTTTAATAAAACTTAAAAATCCTTAACTTCCTTTGCATTTCGTGGTAAGGAAATTTTTTTGATTTTTCTACTCTTTGTGGGCTGAGTTCAATGCCTTTTACAGATAAAATATGTCTCTGTAATTTAATTTTGTCGCAGCAGAACTCGATTTTTTTCAAATTTATGGTTACATATTCTGCCGCAATTTTTTCAAAAAGTATACTTAAATATAATGAATGTTCTGAAAACGTTGTAGAAATACATAAGTAGTCATCTACAGAATCAATAATCAAATCTTGGATACCATCCAAAAGCGTTGTACAAAGTGTACCATCCAAAGTCTTGTGTAAAAAAGTAAAAAAAATTAAAAGTTTTTTTTGTGTTTAGTTTCGGTTAGTTGTGTGCATTGAATACTGTAATTGAACAACATATCTATCTATATCGTATAATAAAAAATTTAATAAGTACTTTTATAGTTATAAGTATCAACATGTCTAGAATTAGGAAATTAAGTTACTCTGCTTTAATGGAAATTTTTAATACGAAAATAAAAAGAATTTAAAACATGGCAAAACTGAAGGATTAAATCGATTCTTATCATGGTAGTGTTACGTACGATAGCATATAGCTATGCGTCCGTGCGCCCCTCCTAGTTTGGGCCCTAAAGGATAGAAGAGTATAGGGAACATAACGAGATAGGAGCTAAGAGTGAGGAACATCGGAGAATACCTAGCAAGAGAGTTGGTTGATAGTAAGGAGTAGGTCCTTGGGTTCGCACGGTTAAGCACAACGCGCCTCTTCTTTCGTTTTTGACATTAATAAAGTACTTGATCAAAACTCTTTGTACTTATTTTGTGCGCACCCCGAGGACATAGAACCCCACATAACAGTGTCAAATTTAGTGATAGAACCAAATGAGAAAAAAGAAATTGGTAGAAATTAATAGTATCAGAAAGTGACAAATAAAAATTATACCAAAATTACTTTCATCCTGAATGTGCTCACAAGATAATATAGTGGTTTTCAATACAGCATAAGGTAAAAACTACTTACATGAGGAATGAATTATTTTGAAACTCGTAATGGAAAATATTTAAGTTAATTTTATTTTTTATTTAAATACATATAAAACTAAATTACAAATAATTTTCATCAACCTAACTAAAGGCTATATTATGTATCCGTTTAAAGATATGAACTTCACAAAAATAATTATTTTGATGAATGGTTGAATGTCACGATAATTGACCATTCATAAAAAAAAGCATTAAATAATAAGTGACAATATAATTTTATAAACACAATGTGAAAATCATATACCTTAAAGAAAAAAATTAAAGAATACAGCAATTGAAACAACAATACTAATATGATCGTGCAAAGTTATTAGAAATATTTTCATACCTATAAGGTTTCTCTATTTTCTAAGATTTTAAGAGCGCTTTTAATACTACCAACAAATTTGCTTATCAGACACAAGTATTTTTAAAGTTTTTTGAGAAATAATTCTCATTGTGTGTGTTGGTACTGCCGATGGATATAATACATAAATAATATGTTCCGATTCCTTTAGTGCATGACACTTGTGATATTCTGAGCACCAATAGGTCTCTTTCGTATTCTTAAATTGTTCAGAACTTTTACACGATGATTGTTCAACTTTACATTTCAGAGAATCAAAAGGTTGTGAAAGTATTTCTTCAGCGTGATGATAAAACGTTCTCAAAGTATCAAGACGATGAGTTCCTGAGCCATAATTTTTGGAATGCTGAGTGTTTCTACTAAGAATGTATTTTCCTATCTTGCAGTTGACTAAAAGAAATCTGAAAAAACATTTTAAAAACTTTTATTAATAAACTCTTACAATATGAATGATTTTTTATTTAAACTAATATCTCTAAAATCACAAATAGTCTGAAAACTATCTTTGGAATGATAAACCATGGGATTTGTGCGAGACCAAGCTATTTCACTATCGAAAGCAAGAGCCAGATATTTCACTAATCAAATAAGGTTTTGCAACGGTTTTTAACAAAACAGGAACCTGGTTAATAAAAACTACATGAAATTCTGTTATGTCTTAATTATAAGCAATAGTCTGATATGTTCGAATTGAAGGCCAGATTTGTTGTGTTGATATTTTGTAGCAAAAATCTTCTGTATGTGGGTACACTGAGAAAAGTGTTATTAGAAAAGGTATTATAAGTATAACAAAAATTACAATATATTTTAGGATAGCTGAGACATACTCGCCCAATAACATAAAGCCTTATGTTGATAATAATTTTCATTAAATTATAAAAAATTATTATAATAGACCATTCTACAAAAATAACTACGGAGTACAATAAAAATTACTACGTATAACATAGTAAAAATGGTGATGTCATAATTTTAGTTATACAGAATAGTAAATTTTATTATGACTTTTGCTGAATTCGTTTATTGTAGAGTAGAAATCATTATGTTACATAGTACAAGATCTGATTTTATCGCATTGCTATTCAACATAGTAAAAATTGGGATGCTATATAATAAGAATCACTGATTTCCTATCGTAATATTTATAGTAACGTTGTAGATTAGGTTAGGCCTATTTGTGTAACACAACATCTTACTAATATTTAAAGCAAATTCGCTAAAACCGTTGTAATCGCTAACCGCGAAAACTACTGAGCCGATTTTGCTGAAATTTTGCATACTGATTCTTCATGATTCCGAGATGGTTTTTGCATAGTTCTTTTCTCAAAAAAGTTAATAACAATAGCGATAAATAAGCTCGAAATTTTGCTAAAATAAGCTAACTTTGGGCTTTAGTTGGGTCGGCGACATTGTGCCCCAAACTAGATTGGTGCTTTTTTGCCTTCAGGTTGGCTCAAGCAGACTTTGAGAACGAGTATACAATAAACACATAGATGGATGGAGTACATATAAAAATGGTACGATTTTCTCAAACAGCCAAGAGATTGCGCTACTGATCCCAATTCCTTACGCAAGTCCGTAAGTCGCGCGCTAGAAGTATCTGACTTGTATATGGGTGTCTTGTACCGCGTACGCAGATTGCGGATGCAGCAACAGTGGCAGAGTCCACACACGCGGAACTCAATACCTATGTAGACACCTTATACCGTGTACGCGGATTGCGGATGCAGCAACAGCTGGACAGTCCGCGCACGCGGAGCACCCACTTTAGAGCAGCATCGAACCGCGTATACGCGGAGTGCAGATGCAGAAACAGCTGGACAGTCCACGGACGCGGAACAGCTAGCTTACATTTTCTTTGTACAAAACAAATTTTTTACAGATATGTTGGAGTTAAATTTAAATGATATTACGTTTGTTTGCTCATTATTGTACAAGTGCGATTAAAAAAATTCCGTTTGTAGTACAAAAAATATTAAACTACTTTGTAGGGGAACATGTGAACATTATATATTAAAATAAAAATATTTAAAATATAGTAAAAAATTGTATGGTATCTAAATCTTATCTTTTACAAACGTAACTTTTCTTAATTTTTTTATTTCATTTTATTTTATTTTTTT